ACATAAATCCTTCAAATTCAAGTTTGGTTTTACTTCTAAAATTATTCTATCGACACAGACATTCACATCAACAGTCTGGTGTAATAATAGATTTGCTTCGGGTGTTTTGTGGAGTGGGTAAGACTGTTTTTAGTGTCCGGCTAACTATGGCCATTGACATGCACTAGCCTAGCACCAGCGACCTCTGCAAATACAAGGACTGGATGGAATATTTTAAAAAGTGTCTCCACACGTCTCCAACACTCTGGCTCACTAGGAAATGAGGGCTATGTCCAAAATTCCGAAATGTTCCCTGTTCCTTAAAAACAATTATGATTTTTTTTTTTTCTTTTTTTGCTATTTCGCTCACTCCGAGCCTGGAAGTGCCACCAATCATCTCCATGGGGATAGAAAAGTTTGATGTGAACATTCAGGGCAAAGCATGGCAGACTTATGCTCCATAAAAGGCTCAACATGTACAACTTGAGGTTTGGGAAATTGAATTCTAAGATGTTACAGTTACTACAAATAGTTAATTGTTATCCGTAAGACTTTGAAATCAAATTACACCAGCTTATTTTTCTGCTTGGCTTTGACTAATTACTCCATTTCTTGACCACTTTTACATCTATCCTTCGTAATGAGCATCGACTACCTCTTCCTCCTCCTCCGTAGACACCCACTTACCCAGCGCCGGTATTTTAATCAGACCTGTTACATTCAGACGCCGTCGACTGTTCGTTTGTAGGTCGGCGCTTCTCGGTATCCCCTGGCAACCTTTGGGCCATCCTCCGCGTGTTCCGACATTAATCAACCGAAAACGGATAGAGTCAACACCCCTTCCACCTCTCCCAAACCTGCCCCCTCCCCCCCAACCATCTCGGTACACTCAGTATCAAACTCATTTCTGTGGGGTGGCCGTGCGCACCACCCACCGAGCGCGCGTAAACACATTCAAGGCTGTTTAAAATTAGCGAGGGGCTGTGGCTAATTAATTCTCCCCCGTCACCAGAGGGGGGCCCCGCGAAGCCGCCTTCTCTTTGCTAGATTAGGCGTCCGGATAGGAGAGGAAAACAATATCCATTAATTTGCGCCCGCCACCTTCTCTGTGATGGCGAGGGGGGGGAAAAAAAAAAAAAAAAAAAGTAAAAGAGTAATTCCTAAAGGTTTTGGTGATATCGCGGCGTTTTAAAATCAAATGGAGAGTGATCAATGGCGCATTAAAAAGACGGATTGCGAGTGACAGGCGGAATGCGTACGGGGTGAGGTGATGAATTTCAATAGGGCTCAATAGACTTCTTCAATTAAAAAAGGTGCGTGTGTGTGTGTTTTTTTGTTTGTTTCTGTTTTTTTTTTCAGATATTAAAGCTTTGTCGACGCCGGTGTCTTGTAACAGATGTAGAATGGGTTGTATTGACGCGCTATGGAAAAGGAGGGAGCGTTGCCAATGGTGACAGCATCATCTGTAATCATAAAAGTCTGTGTAGGAATATGAAATGGCAGAGTCGAAGCTGTTTAATAGAAGTTGTTGGAAAGATTTAAAACTTGTCTTTGGAAAAGGTGCATAGTCGCTTGAAAAATAAATGTGGTACTTCATTGTTGATGCCATATGTGCGTTGGGAGGTAGCCCGGGGTAAACTAGTAGTGGTAAGACTGTGGTACTACTACGTGCAGTATCTTTCTTGTGGTATTTAAGAGCCCAAATTTCGCAACGTTCTGATCTATATTGTAATGTTTCGTCATCACAAACATACCTGGACTTTTGTTTTGTTTCATTCAAGCATGTTTAACACAAAAATCCAGCATTTTTAAGTTGAGTTCTTCTCTCAGACAATTTAGTAATACAGGAGGGCCCGGTCAAGCAGAAGAATACATCAAGGCCAAAAATTCAAGTTAATGCATCTGATATAAAAATGTATTCAACAGATACATATGTACTCTAGTTTATGAAACTGTTTACCTTTTTTCTGTACCATTTTTGGTTCTAAAGTTACATACGTTTTAAACAGACCATGTATGAAACACATGGAACAAAAATTATTTCCCAAATTTCAAAGACCTGCAAATCATGTAAATAAATGGATGTATTTCATCATATCTTGTGTTATGTGTTGATGAAGGTACATGATTTTTCTAAATAAAAATTATTTAAAATGATAAAAATTTGCTTGGAAGGACTGTCATATTTATAGAAATAGTTTCCTTGAAGTAATATTAAAGTATTCGGAAAAAAAAACTGACAAATTATGCAAAGTCCTTCTACTTGCTTGCACAATTTTCTCTCTATTACTTTTCCCTCCGTTACAATGACCTTTCTTAATAAAAAAAAAAGTAAGAGGTTTTTCAGCCTAATCTTGTACCATATGGTAGAAAACTAGATTAAGCAAATATTCAAACCAGTTTGTTAAGGATATGTAAGTGAGAACTGGTAGTTATTGCTGTTTGTATTTATTGCCCAAAAAGTGCTGCATATTTCATTCTCTCCGTTACCGACATGAGTTTTTTAAATTTTTTTGTCAACAACTTGAAAGAATATCACAGGGTTTAACTTTACCCTGTTGGAGTGTTAACTCTTTCCTACATTCTTGATACCTTACTTATTTCAATAGTCCCTCTAGTTTCTGAATAAGAGCTATTTGAATGTAAAAATCTGCCCCTGTTTCCCTCCGTTACCACTTGACCAGACCCAGGATCCACCACTGAACTCCATGCACTCCATGCACCTTCACTAGAATATCTCCAGTGAAAAAAATCAGATGACCGACCCTCCTCCATACGCCTTTAAAGATTAGATCTTTGTGTGTGTTAATGTCCTCAGGGTTGACCATCTAAGAGTGAGAAAAAAGTACAAACTACTCATTCTAAGTCAATTCCCATGACTGGGGCTAAATGTAGACTGAGCTGATAAACAGATCTGTAATGGGTAACTATGAGATCCCTTCACTTCACAGGTTTCACTGAGCAGAGAGCACAGAAGACTTCTCTCAGAACTTAGACCAGTGTCTCATGTTTGAAAGAGAGTACAACTACAATTTTGATAAGTATTGTTGCAGAATAATTCAGTATGGTTAGACTGAAGATGCACTATGTAACTTGTCTCATTGTCACCACCATAGACTGTATAAAAAGTGGACTATGCGAGTGTGACGGCACCCATAACATTTAGCTCTAGTCAAATGAACCGTGTGACTCTAGTGGTTACAGGCTCTATATTGTGAAGAGGATTTTTTAACAAACAAAATAGCGAAATAAAAAAACACCAGGATCATGTAGGGCGGGTTAATATGAACATTTTAAGATCAAAATGACAATCCTCACAGTCGCAGCAGTTACAGAGAGAAGGAGCACAAAGTCAAAAGGAGCCAGGGTCTGAAGGAGTCGAAAGAGCTCGCATGCTCAAGTCCTATTTGGAATATGCCAGATAGTGTGTTAGGTATGTCCGTTTATATATACAGTCTATGGTCTCTACCAAGATGCGTCCATATGGATTTAAACATCTTTAGGTATTTTATCGTTGAAAAATACAAGCATTCTAATTTTGAGTGAAACCAAGTGTCCACAAAGATACCTGTAACCTGGGGCGCACTCACACTGGGACTTTTGAACCGTGCTATGCTCAAGCATGATAACGTCGCGCTCTACATCCGGCACTCACTGCATAACTGAACTGAGCCACGACCCGATGACTTCATCACACAGCACTGTTTACAAGATCCCCAGCAGAGCTATCGCTTTTAGTGGAGAATATAAGTCCAGCAGGATGAAATATCTATTAAATATTGAGACAGGTATGAGTCCTGCTGCGATACACATTCCTCTGTGAGTTCATGGATATAAAAACAGCACGGAGGAGTGAGGAAAGCCTGAGACGAGAGGCGGCAAAACTTCTGTCACCGTCCACAGTCCTTATTGAAGGTAAGCACGTTTTTGTCGTATGTTTTGGAGTGACCTTTATTCACTGTTTTCTCATATGAATAACATCAGCAGACACACAGGGCTTGTATAATAAACTCATGAGTGGTTTGATTGCACTAACAGTGGACGATCCGTGCTTGGGCATGGTTCTAAAGTCCTAGTGCACCCCAGGTCTTCATACTGAGGAATATTTGAAACAAGGCAATCATATGCAAAGAGTTGTGGACTTACACCTTGAAACGTTACATACTGCATCATTAGGACTGAACTTAATTGGCCTCACAAGGGAGAAATTTACTTCTGTTAGAAACTAAACTGACAAGCAACTAAATTGTAAACACAAAACTGGATTTAAAGGACCTATATTACGCAATTTTTGATCTTTGGTATAATGTTGTAGCCTCATTAAAAACATACCTGGAGTTCTTTTTGCTTCATTCACACAAAATTCGGCATATTTAGGCTGTGTTCACCTCTCTCAAACAGAAAACACTCTGTTCCTCCTTGCGACGGTAATACAGGAAAATGGTTACATCTATAAGCGCTCCACTGTGTTTTGAAACTCCATACGGCTTCAGGAGAATCATTTGAATAGTTTGCAGCCATGGTAGAGCCGAACTCTGAAGCTAGAACTATTGTTTTAGCCTTGTTGAAACTTCTTTGCTTCTTGGTGCACCTGAAGGTATTGGTGATTTCTGTGTCAGTCTCAAATGAACAAAATAAAACTACTTCATGACATCACAAGGTGGAACAGAGCATTTTTACCACTGGAGATGTAGACAGCTTAATTATGCAGGGTTTCTCAAACATATGTGATTGAAACAAAACACAACTCCAGGTCGGTTTCTGATGAGGTAACAACATTATAACTTGACTTAAATCTCACTAGAGTCAATTTTGCGTAATATAGGACCTTTAACTGTAAGAAACCAGATTGACATGCGAAGAACATGCAAACTAAACACATCAAACCCCACACTGTTTTAACCTGGATCTTCTTGCAGAGCTGTAGAATAGCTAACCAGTTCTAAAACAATGAATATACAAATTAGATTATGTCTGTAGTGATTCTTATGTAAATAAATACGTGATAGGCGTGTGTGTACCTGAGGGCATCCACGGATCTGTGCTGGAGCTCTTCTCTCTGGTGCTGATCTGCTCCCAGTCCAGGTCGTCATCTCTGCCCTGGCTGTACCCGCACGACGCCAGGGGCCTCTCGAAGTTACAATCGCCTACAAAACAAATGAGAAACGACGGTTATCACAAAAGACAAGATGAGAAGAATGTCCACACTCATTGTAATAACATGGACGTATGGGTAAAGTTTGTTTCAGGAAGCTGGCGGGAGAGGACGTTCCCATAAATGTCATCATAACAAAGAGCTGTGAAGTTGTGGGCACCTCTGATGGATAACCACACCTCACACTAGCAAGCCACAGACTAAGAAAATATAAATAGTGTATGAAGTACATAGAAAGCAGTGGGCGTATATCGGTGGTGGTAAAAATGGGGGTTAATCAGCAATATGGCGTCTTGAAAATAAGTGATTTGTTGAGTAGTTGTTAAGATTTGTAAAGTTTGCATGCTCAAACATTAGACTTAGACAAGTAGTCTAAGGGCTAATCGAATTTCTATCCCTACCCCTTGCCCCGTGAAACTGAGCAGCAAAGAGGTAGGAGTTGAAAGTAAACCCTTATGAATTGGGACACCCCTTCAACAATCACATACATCATCAGTAGTCTCCACCAGCTTTTACGCAAGCAGACATGACAAGTTTTTGCCAGAAATCCAAAACGCCGTCCACAATTTGTGAATTTCTTTGGCCTCTGTGTTGGGATTCAGCCTAAATCAAATATGCACAAATCACTCCAGATACAACTTTGGGTGAGTAAATGATGAGGGGAAACAAATATAACACTGTTAAATGTTCTAAAGAGTCGATTTTGCATTATAGGTCTGCTTTCATATTACGCTTTTTTAAATCTATGTTGTGATATTGTTTCCTCATCAAAAACAAACCTGGAGTTGTGTTTTGTTCACACGTTTTTGACACACAGATACTGCATATTTAGGCTGTGTTCTTCTCGCAAACTGAAAACACTTTGTGATGTCATGTGGTAATACAGGAAGTGCTCCACTGTGTTTTTAAACTCCATACACCTTCACTAGAATCATTTGGATAATTTCAGTCCTGAAGTTTCCAATCTCCACTGAACAAAAGGTTCACTTGAAAACTACCACTTCATGACATCACAAGGTGGAACAGATCAATTTGAGCTTTGGACATGTAGACAGACTAGGGATGTAACAATATCCAAATCTCTTGGTACGATATTATCACGATATGCATCTCATTTATTGCGATATTTTGAAGAGGCTGATATAATTGTAGACGGGACACTTTTTTGCTTTTAAAATACCTTGATATGATTTTGGTGTGAATTATTTCCATCGTAATCCCAAGAATTCAAGTAAAAAACATAAATCTTCATGTTGTCTGCGCTGAAATGAATCATGGGATATGTAGTTTCCAATGTTCATAAACTGCTGCTACTATAAAACCATGCATTTAAGCAAAGCAACTTGTTATTTGATATATTGTGACAGCCCACGATATTATTGTGAGACTTTTGACGATACGATATCACAATATTTCGGTTATAGTTACATCCCTAAGACAGACAGATAAAGAATTACTCACATGTGTGAATGAAACAAAACACAACTCCAGGTCTGTTTTTGATGAGGGATCAACATTCCTACATGGTTTAAAGCTCACAAAAGTCATTTTTTGTGTGTAATATGACCTTTAACTCTTATTTGTTTTAACAGGAAGAGATAAATTCAAATCTAAAATTGAGAAAAAAAAAATCAAAAGTAGACTAGATCATAAAACAGATCCAAACCAAAACAATACACTGAGATAACCCCAAGTCACACAGTTAGACTAAATCCATCTTTACAAAAGCTGCGCGGGCCTGGTTGTTTCCTATTAACTTTGCAAATGAATGCATTATAAATTAAATCCTTTTTCCGCTGCAGTGTTCATAATGCAATATGGCCAACAATGAGAGGCGCTTAAGTGAGACAGAGTGAGGGATGGGTACCGCTAGCTCCACATATATTCAAATCATTAGCCACGCGCCAGCCCAATTCCACCATGACAAGTACAAAGTGTGCAAACTCCATCATAGTTAGGCGTTATGCTCCCAAAGTGTGCCTCCATCAGGGCACAATTGATTTATTTCTCCTCTTGTCCGCTACACAACTTTGCGGCTACGCTATACGGCCTAATCCTTTTCTCAAGCTGCTCGCCAAATGACAGCTAGCAACCGTTAGGGCCCCGGCGTGAACCAGAGCGACGTCTGATCGATTCATACAAATACGCCTTTATTCCCCGCCACCTTAAAGGCCACGGAGAGAGAGAGAGAGAGGAGGGGGGAGAGGTTTTTTCACTTTTCGCTCACTCGTTTTGGGCCAAAGTGCTTTTCAATCCGCTCATAAATCTAGTGCAAAGGAGCTGATAGAGAAAGAGGAGGTGTATTGTTGTCCGTGGAGAGGGCGGCGGAGGGGCTGGATTAGTGGGGGAATAGGGCTACAGGGAACGTGGAGAGAATAAATGTCATGTTTTTATACAGGGCTTTATGAATTTACTGATATGACATAAAGACTCAAACGTCTCTCACTACAAACTTGGCTGAACTTCATTTGCTCCATGCGTATAGAACTAGAAACAAACCAGTACTGTTCTACAAATGCAGTTTGAGCCCAGACGCAATAAGGAAAATGTGAACAGAAACATTTCATTTTCACTTGACTCATGTGTAGCACTCGGATTTGACTTCTGTACATTTAAAACTGTGAAACGATGACTCAGGAAGAGGCGAAATGTTGTGACAAATATTTGAATCTGGTTTAATCGAAGTGTCACAACAGCGGAACAAGTCGAGAATCTATCTTGCTGTTCAAGGCGCGCGGTTCATTTAATATAAGATTTACAAAGATATTTAACCCTTCCAGACCTAAGAGCAATACATTTGTCCTCGCCTGGATTTGTTTTACCCTATAATGAAGTGTTATACGTCTTTTTCAGTACAACCTGCTATTTCACAATCTGCACGCTGTAGTTGTGTCATATGGCTGTAATAAAAGCTACAAGACCAGTAATACCATAAAAAAAAAAAAAAAAAAAAAAAAAAACAGAAAATGAAATTCATACTGTTTCATACAAGAAATACAGCAAACATGTACGAACAACTTTTTGGACATAAAAAACTTTGGTACAAAAGTGCAAAATATCAAGTCTGCAAGTAAACTAAAAATATACTTATTGCCCTCAAAACAAACAAACAAAAAGTGCAATCGCCCTCTGTGCACATACACAGGCCAAGTTGCATAATTTGCCATTTATTTGAGAAATAACTGCATTTGGACCGGCTTTTTCAATTGTTATGAACATAAACGCTCAGAGCAGTCAACCATTTCGACTCACGACACTCTTTGGCAAAGTTTGGACCAATGAAAATGGATGGAACGCATTCATTTGGCAAAAAAAAAAGTTCCTATTGGACACTCGTTTTATCATGGAAATATGCTCGGAAAGCCTCAACTGTCAGCTTTATGTTAAAAAAAGTACCTCTCTATCTTTTATGGTTGGAAAGTTATGCGCAGTTATATAAAACATATTCCCAGGTATTGCATATGATACTGTCAGTCTGGTAGGGTTCATATTAATTAAGGCGCAATATGTAACTTTTCTGGACGGTAGTTATGCTGGTTACCTACATGGATAAAGTGTGTTATTGCTTTTTTAAACCAAGGCACGTCCTGCGGAGATGTGAGTCAGCATAGTCAGCATGCAGGTTTTTCAAAGTACACTACAGGTCAAAAGTTTAAGAACACTGTAATTTTTACAGTTATTTATTGCGATTCAAGTCGTGCAAGTCAAATGAATAGCTTGAAATGGTACAAAGGTAAAAACTGAGTAGCCAGAGGTTAAATATATATAAAAGATAACAAAACACAAGTCCAAGCTCTGCCAAAACTACCTCAGGAAAAAAGGAACAAGATGGTAAAGCTTGAAAACATGGAGTGTCCAGCCCAGTCTCCATATTTAAACCCCATCGAGCTGGTTTGGGATGAACTGGACAGAAGAGCGAAAGACAAACAACCTACAAGTGCCACACATTTATAGGAACTTCTGCAACAGACTTGGGAAGAACTTTCTGAAGAATATTTGATTTCTATTGTAAAAAGAATGGCTCAAGTTAGACACAATTCAGCTGCTTGTATCTGCCAAAGGTGGACACTTTCATGAATCAAAAGTTTAGAATACATTTTGGTCAACAGTAAACAGTAAAAAAAAAAAAAAAAAAAGTGTGGTGTTCTTAAATTTTTGACCGGTAGTGTACATTTTAACAATAGCCACAGACCACAGCAGGTGGCGGATCCTCTATCGGAAAAGGTACAAAGTGCACCTTTAAGCACTAGCTAAAACAAGTTCTTATAAACAAAATCGATCAAATTAATTTCCCCCAGTCCTCGCAGGTGCTATTCTGGCCTAATATTTTACGCTGCTTGTTGATAACAGACGACAACTGTCTGACTCAGCCCCCCCTCCTCTCTCTCCTCTCTCCCTCTTCCCCTCTCCAAATGTTTCACTAATAACTTTCTGAACACAGACATACAAATGTGAGCGTCGTCGGGGGGAGAGGGGGGGCGTCTTTGGATGCAGGATCGATTCGGGGCCAAAAACCAATATCTCATCTGCTTACACGCTCGTGGTGAGACCCTGCGCAGGAAGGGGACGGGCGCGCTTTTGTTTGACCATTTATCTGCGCCCTGACATTTACGGAGCGCGTGCAAACCAGCGGCCAAACCAGGAGCGCACACACTAATTAATATCCGGTTCTCTAGGCCACCTGCTAACGATACATGCAGGGCTTTGTGCGAGAGGGTGGGTGGTAAAAGGATGACTGCCAACAAAGCTAAGCAGGTACGGAGCAAAAAAATAAATTAGGAAAAGATTACAATTGTTTTTCCTCATATTAAAAGGCCCGACATTACACGAAATGGATTCTTGTCAGCTTTAAGCCATGTTATAATGTTACCTCGTCAAAAACATACCAGGAGTTCTGTTTTGTTTCATTCACACATGTTTGAATAGTCCTTTATTATTTGCCTGTCTGCATCTGCAAAGCTCAAAATTCTCCTTTCCACCTTGTGATGTCAT